AACGGAAATTGCAGTACATTTTCAATTCTAGTCACACTGTTATTATGCCTTTCTCTGGACTGTGATGCATCACTGCCATTTAAACACTTGCTCAGTGATCACATTAACTTTGCCACTTGACAGTGAAGGTTATTAGGTCAGTGTAGGAAGTGAATTTCAGGAACACAGATCAAGTGAATTATCTGTAAACGAAAACAAGGCAAAAAGGAGACTCTTTTTTTCCTTTATATTATTATTTTTAAAAAGTACCAGCATGCTACCTCTATTCTGTTATTTAAAACATGTGGCTGTGTAACCTTGTCCAGAGACTGTTTCTTCATAACTGTTCACTGATGTATTTTTTTGTGTTTTGTGCTTATCTTCCATTTAATAAAATATACATTTCCCAAAAAGCAATAGTATTTAGTGGATGCCCATAAAGTCAGGGAGGAAAATGTATACTTGTGCAAGGCAAAAATATGGGGTTCAGCCGAATCACTTCATCCAAAAATACAATTTACTTTGGCTAGTCCGTTGGCTGTCCACTTCGTAGTGTGGCTCATCTAAGTATTGCACATCCAAAATATTGGGGGGAAAAAATGTAACAAACCAAATTGGCATGAAAATGGACAAGTCAGTGTACTGAAAAATATGTAAATATTATGTATGTATCTTGCAGTAAACCGAAAGGTGCTTTTTCACACATAGTTACATAGTTACATAGCTGAAAAGAGACTTGCGTCCATCAAATTCAGCCTACCTCACATTTGTTTTTTGCTGTTGATCCAAAAGAAGGCAAAAAAAAAAACCAGTTTGAAGCACAATTTTGCAACAAGCTAGGAAAAAAATTCCTTCTTGACCCCAGAATGGCAGTCAGATTTATCCTTGGATCAAGCAGTTATTACCCTACATTGAAAGATTATATCCTTGAATATTCTGTTCTTGCAAGTATGCATCTAGTAGCCGTTTGAACATCTGTATGGACTCTGATAAAACCACTTCTTCAGGCAGAGAATTCCACATCCTGATTGTTCTTACAGTAAAAAAAACCTTTCCTTTGCCTTAGACGAAATTTTCTTTCTTCCAGTCTAAACGCATGGCCTCGTGTCCTATGTAAACCATTTTGTTAACAGACCAAGAGAGGGGGAGTGTGGGGGGGGAGTAACCAATAGAGGGGGAAAAAGAGGAGGAGCAGTAGAAAAATCGAAATGTATACATATATATATATATATATATATATATATATATATAAATGCATGGGTTTTTTTTGTTTGTTTTTTTAATTTCTTTACTTTACCTAATTTTTCCCCTGTTTTATTCACTTCTCATTGCTCTGTGAATAAAATCAACAAATTTAGTGGCTGTCCTCTAACCATTAAACATATTTTTTCCCCATCAATTCTTTTATTGGCGCCATGAATGGAACTCTGTTCAGTTACACATCTGTCTGACATATCAAGGCTACAGAAATTGGTCTCCGAATTGCAATTTAACCAAAAAAACAAATGCAAAAGTCCAGGAAAATGTCCTTATTTTAGTAAAGGAATAGATTTTAAATACAAAATTACACTTGTGCGTTTTCATTGAGTGCTGATTTTGTTTTTCAAAATTTGCGAGATATAATTTTAGCAATCAGCAGCAATTAGCAGGCAACATTTCAGAGGATATTTTCTAACTGTATAATCCTTCACTTCCAAATTGATCCTAATGGGAGCCCAATGAAATCTATCTGAAATGGTGCCAAATTGCTCATGAATTAAACCATTTCTAAATTAGTCACTTGTTAAATGAGTTTTAAAAGCAGGCATACTTAAGAGAAATAAAATATAATTTTACTAAACTTAAATGGGCCTTTATTTTATTTCTCTCTCTCTCTCATTGTGGGCAGATAAAGCAGATCACAGATTCCCTCTTTCCAATGTCAGCCTTAGGTTTTCATGCACATTGTGTGATACTTAGGAGTGGTGCCACCCCACCCTATAGTGGGCATAGGTCCATGTTCTGTGTGTGTGCTTGTATATTCAATAAGTCTGTGTTTCTGTGTAAATGCAATGTCAGTAGGTGTGCATGTTGGTGTTTCTGCACATACAATGTCAGTATGTGTATATATGTATTCCTGTGTGTTGTGGTCGTGACCTAAATATGAATATTAATCTCTTAATACATAATAATTAAGCAATACAGAACAACATTAATATTTTTATAATTCATGGTATTATGGTCGAATATGTGGATAGAAAATACACAAAACGTTGTAATATTAAATGTATATTTTATATAACTATAATAAATAAACAGATGCTAGCAGAATGTCAATTTACTACAATAATTATACAATACAATACTACAACAAAAGGTTGCTAAATGTTACACAAAAGGCTATTACAGTTGCTATATGTTACAATGGATTCATATTACTTACAAGGCCCCAGCCAAAGGGCTGGGGCTAGGTCAGAGCTGGTGCTACATGATCAGTCAGGTACAGGCAAACAGAGAGCTAGCTTCTCCTCACATCTGGGTTTTTATTCAGTGTAAGTAGGCTGGCCTGTGATGTCACTGCCAGAAGCACAGGTCTTCCTACACACTCCCCCTAATGGTGCCCCCAAAGCATTACACTAAATATGCTTTACTGACATCTAGTGGTGCGTCTAAAGCATTAAGCTCATTATGCTTTTTTTTATGACAAAAAGTCATTAATTAATAAATACCATTACACTGTGTGTGATGTAAGGTTCAACATTATGTCAAGAACAAGTCCATTTATCTATTTTGCTATATACATTAAAAATATAAAACAAAGACATAGAATATTCAAAAATATATTTACAATCTTTTCAGATATAGCCAAAGAAAATTAGAAACATAGTTTCTGGTTGGTTATACATAGAATAATTAACAGTAGAGTAAAATCAGTGCCTTAAACAAAGACTGAGAATGAATTTTATAGGAAGATAATTATAAAAAGGAATGTAACTAAAACAATCTAATTTGTAATTACTCAAGAAAACTTGGCTTATTTGTCTGCATTACCCATTTCTACAAGAAATATCACCTGGAAAACCTGCATAATCAAAATATACTTAAAAAAAATGAGCCATTACACATTAGAGGGGTGCACTAAATATATATGTGGAACATGGCTCATACAAGATAAGGTGGTATACCAAATATACATAGAAAGCTAGTTGTGACCACTTAAGAAGGGTGCATAACAAGCATGTCAAACGCAAAGGCTAACACGGGCCAAATAAACAAGATTTAAGTTTATACGGGTCGCAAAAAAACAAAAACTTCAGTTTTCATAGCAACATAGGTTTATTTAGAAAAGAAGAGTATAAACAAAGTCCTGTGAGTGTCATCTTAACTTTTCAAGTTTGATGATCTCAGTTAATCCAATGCTTTCCTTTAGGAAAGCATTGGGAGGCTATTGTGCATGCGTGGCAAAACGCTACGCGGCCAATGAGCATCTCCATGGGGAGTGTTCAGCGCCTCCAAGCAGACCCAATCTAATCACTGCTCCCTCCCCCCATTTATAATACACTGCCGCCAAATCCAATACACTGCTCCCCTCCATCCACTCTAATTCAATGCCCCCCAATCTAATACACTGCCCATTAATCTAATACACGGACCCCCCCCCCACTCAACTCTTATTGAACACACTGCCCTCCCCACCAATTTAATACACTGCCCTCTTCCCTCTCCAATTTAATGCACTATCTATTTCCGAAGTGTCAAAGTCCGAATTTCTGAATGGCCGATCCAAACAAAATTGCTGAATTGTCGAATAGCTAAAGTGCCGAATTTTGGAAGTGCTGAATTTCGGAAGTGCCAAAGTGCTTCGGATTTCTGAAAAGGGGCAAAACAAGAGAGGGAGGGAAATTTATGTTAAAGATGACAGGAATCTTGACCAATAAGCTAATTCCTGGCACTGGGAACCCTATAGATGTGTAAGTGGTTGTGGTGGCAATCCTGGCAATGGGAGCCCTATAAATGTGTAAGTGGTTGTGGTTTCAGTCCGGGCACTGGGAGCCCTATAGATGTGTAAGTTCTTTGTGGTTGTGGTGGTTATGGTTAGGGGTAGGGTTATGGGTAGGGTTAGGGTTACAGTTAACAGTAGGGTTAGGGGTAGGGTTAAGGTTAGGGATAAGGGTAGGGTTAGGGGTAAGGGTAGGGTTAGGGGTAGGCTTAGGGTTAAGGATAGGGTTAGGGGTAGAGGTAGGGTTAGAGGGAGGGAGCCTTACAGATGTTACGTATTTCTAAATTCCGAATTGACGAAGTTCCGAATTGCCGAACCAAACAGAATTGCAGAAGAGCCAAAATTTTTTACCTGCCCGAATTTCCGAACCAAATTTTTTGCCCATGCACATCCCTAACAGAAAACTAGTCATTGTGGCATTAGAGTGATATACCAAATATACATAGAAAACCTGTCATTACAACATTAGATGAAGATATCAAACATACATAGAAAACTAGTCACTGTGACCTTAGAGGAGTATACCAAATATACGTAGAAAACAATTTGGGTTTTTTTTTGGTTGCAGTACATGTTTGTCATGTAAGAAGGCAGGTGATTAAACAGCCATGAGGCTTATTTAAATGATCTACGCATGAGAAAAAATATTAACCCAATTAAACAAGTTACCACATTGTGATATACTGTACAATAATTGTGTTAACCTATTAATCTATCTTTGTCGTGTATACACAGGAAGATGAGCACATCATATCCAGGAGAGAATAGAAGAATGTAACCAAGTAAACTTGCAAAAGCCAGACACAGAGAGATGGATCCAGGTTTCCAGGAAGTAAGAGGTCTTTATGAACATACCGATCGGGCCTCAGATGAACTAACGTTCCAAAACAGGTCTGAGGGACAAACACATGGAGTACATGTATTTTATAGAACTATAACTCCTCCCATTAATAGCTCCACCCGCACATATCCTTAACCAATCAGTGGACAGGATTTGGATTTCCTCATATGGGCAGACCACACGGCTCATCCGAAACAAAGGAGAAAGGAGTGTAATTTCAGTTCCTTCATTCCTGCACATGCTCAGTACATTGATGACAGTATCTTAGCTACGTGTAACTAACTAACTGATACAACATACACATATCCACGTGGAAATCTCGGCCTACTAAATTTACATTTCACCGAAATTCCATCACAGAAGACAGCTTCAAACATGTTCATAATAACTAAATTCATAGTCTTATTTTTCATGGCCATACAGAACAAATACAGGGACAGTATCATTTCCCAAAAATGGACAAATAGAGATGAATTTATATTAATTCCAAATATTCACTTATTGGCCCAATTGTTTAACTTGTGATTTTTAACACTAGTACTTCTTACAATCTGCTATCCAGGCGGGGTGGGGGAATGGTATTGTTCTATCTTTGTTTTGTTTTTTTGTAATCTGTATGTATTCTATTCACTTGCTTTTCAAACATGTATGATGTGGCACACTTTGAAAACAAAGAGACAAATTCGACCTCAGATATAGAGCGTAACTTGTATAAAACACTTTTTCCAAAGTGATAAAAATAAGAATTAAAAACTTAGTATAGGAGACGTTACACACCTTGCAGTACATTTTGTTATAACCTTCAGGCATTTTGCTAATTATTTCATCCTGGTACAATTCACTGTGCTGTTTTATACCTACACCTACAAGTATTCGCTATTTCATATGTTCAGTGTCAATTTTGCATTCTGTAATAAAACTGTTAATAAAAAAACAACTTCTCATACAATGAAGCCACAACTTTTAAGATAAAAAAGTGTTAATGTGTAAAATTAGACTGCAGGCAGCATTAGACTGTAAGCTCGTTTAAGCAGGGCCCTCATCTACCTATTGTTCCTGTGTCACTGTTTCATTTATTGTAAATTTCCCCCCTTTTATAATATTGTAAAGCGCTGCGGAATTAGTTGGCGCTATATAAATACCAATAATAATAATAATAATTAGCTTTAAAAAAAACCAAACACAACAAAAAACAGTGTAGAGTATTCACTTTATATACCGGTAAGTCCATTTTTGTATGTATCATCATTTGTGTTTGCTAATTTAGAAAACAACGTTTTTATACTCTAATGCATTGTGCTGTGTACTTTGTAAATAACGCGCGCATTCTTTGTCGTCCAGTTTTAATTTCCATAAACTTGATTAACCAACGCTACCAAACAACTCAGATTTTGAAATTGATAGTGTCATTTCCAGCTATTTGGTAACAGTACATTTTGTAACACGAGCCTCCTACATATGTATAATTAATTAAACTCCATTTCATTACCACAGCCTAATTCACTAAACAGCAGTAATAAGGAACTGGACTATAAATTAGCACATAATGGCTTAGTAGTAAAGATGCTGTTATTGGAGACCTGACAAAGTTATATTTACGACTACAAGCTCCTTGGTCAATCAATCTTGTCTCTGGGCAGTATTAGATAAATTACATAGAACATCTTAACTATTTGGTGGTCAGAGACTTGAGCAACACATTCTGTGCCAATGTATGAACTTGAGCGGTTAATAGTTTCTTTGTTTTTTTAATCCTTCAATAATCTTTATTAAAAAAGAAATTAAAAAAAATTAAAACAATGGTAATGGCTTTGACAAAGACTATAATGAGAGATACAGGTAAATTCAAGCAGTTACAGTACCCAAGGTGCTAGTGTGCCATAGCACTTTTCACTTGCAATTAGTAAACATTTTCTTTAAATTATCTTGGATACTCATTTAATATTATCAGCTACTTAGAACCAATAGATAATTAGGACTTTAATGAAGCATGTAGTTGCTTGCTCAAGTCTAACATTTGTATCTCTGCTGGGACTCCATTTTGCTTTCCTCTTATCCTTCAGCAAAGCTTCTCTACAAAGTCACTTTGGCAATAAGAAGTATTTAATTAGATTAATGAATTCTTATCACCTCTCATAGGGACTAAGCTTGTTAATTCCTGGCGACAACAGAACAACAGATTTATATTACTAAATGTTTAGGGATGCACTTGTTGTCTTGCTGTGGCAGTCCTCATAAGTCAGGCAGCTCTGGGCAGATATACCTCATATCCCTAGATAGGCCTAAAATATTTGGCAGGGACAGCCTGTGCCGTGAGTTAATTTGCAGAAGTCAAAATGCAAATTATTGTGTTTTTCTTTTCTATTTTGCGCATGCCATGTTTTATTTAGCAGATTTTCTCAGGGAAAAAAAAAAACAGAGTTCTTACAAAATTCATAAGAATGGGAATTGTTAAGTTGTCAGGGCAGACTTATTTTGGCATAGTACCGGTTGATGGTTCAAATGCAGCAATAAAATGCCATATTCTGATTCAAATCAATGAGTTATTAATATAAAATAGAGTATTTTTTAACATATGATAATTTATTTGCTCTAGTTTGTTGCTTTTCTTTTTTTAAGAATCTAATTTCTCATTTGGAGTGTAATTTCACAGGGTAGGCAAGATATAAAGTGTTGCATTTTAATAGGTGGCAGATATGTTAACCTCTTCACCACAAAACTTTTCAATAAAAAAGTGAAATCTTTTTTCAAAAGTTGAGGGAATATATAGCACAGAAATATCAACCAAAAAATATAATGTATATATTTTTGTTCAGGGATACCTATTGGCATTTTAATGAAGGCAGCTTTTCAAAAATGGCACATAAATGTAAAATGTATTGGAGCTGTAATGTTAGCAGGCCCGGACTGGCCATCGGGCATACCGGGCAAATGCCCGGTGGGCCGCGATGGCCGTGGGGCCGAGGCTGGCAGGGAGATCACAGGATCTCCCCGGCCGGCCCCTGAAGGGCCCGCGCTATCCGAGCCCCAGCCCCGCTGTGTGCCTCCATGGGCCGGTGGGGAGATCAAAGATCTCCCTCACCGGCTAACAGGCAGTTACAGGCGGCTGCAGGCTGGGGAAGGAGGGAGGCAGGAGAGAGGACCGGCGGACTTCTAACCAGCAGCTCCGCCCGGTCCTCTCGCGGGATTCTGAGCGTTGCCGCGGTTACCACGGCAACGGTCAGATCTCGCGAGAGTGAACTCTAGCCTGCTGGCTAGAGTTCACTCTCACCACTGGACCACCAGGGAAGCATGACAGCATGGCCCCCCCCATGGCAACACGGCTCCCCCCCTCCCAGGCTAAAGGTAAGAAGGGGGGGGCATAACTTTTTTTTTTTTTTAATTATTAATAAAAAAATATATATATTTAAAATAATTTCCCTAACAGCCCCCCCAGACACACACAGCCCCACACACACACAGCCCCCAGACACACACAGCACCCCAGACACACACACAGCACCCCCAGACACAGCACCCAGACACACACACACACACACAGCACCCCCAGACACACACACAGCACCCCAGACACACACACACAGCAACCCAGACACACACAGCAACCCCCAGACACACACAGCACCCAGACACACACAGCACCCAAACACACAGCACCCCAGACACACACAGCACCTCCAGACACACCCAGACACACACAGCACCCAGACACACACAGCACCCCCAGACACACACAGCACCCAGACACAAACAGCACCCAGACACACACAGCACCCAGACACACACAGCACCCCCAGACGCACACAACACCCTCAAACACGCTGCGCACCTCACACATACAATACGTCCAAATATATTATATATATATATATATATATATACACACACACACACTACAGCACCCCTCACACTGCACCACTACATACATTACGCTCCAGATACACACTAGATCCCTTACCCTATATGTACTCTTAATCCTCTACACACACACACACAATCTTCTATACACACTCTGGGTCCTTTACACACTAGATCTCTTACACACACACTGCACCACCTACACACACACTACATTCCTTGTAAGCAAACACATACAATATTCTCTAAACACACCCTCTCTACACACAGTAGTGTGTGTGTATAAGTGACACACACTACGTCACCTATACACACACTACTGCCCGTATGCACACACTCGCTACATCCCCTATAACACTATGCCCCTATACACGCACTCTCTACAGCCAATAGCCACACATATTACACCACAAAATTGACCTATTTACACAATACCACACCACACTCTACACACAGGCAATCCCACAAACATGCGCCAAACACATGCACAATACACTTTCCTGGCCCTTTTGTCCTCTGGTATCCCACTTGTGGAGACACCAGAGACAATTTAAAAGCAAACACAGCGCAAGCATGTTATTACATTTGCTTGCGCTGCGCAGAAGAAATACAGGGCCTTTTTCTAATGCCAGAGCTCTTCAGCGGGGCTCTGCGCATTAAACCAACATGCTCACTTTCAGATGGGGTGTACTTGTCATTAGTGATGACAAAACAAACCCTCTCTGGCCCCGCCCCCTTCTTGGGGGGGCCGCTCTAATTGAAAAATGCCCGGGCCTAATTTTTTTCCCAGTCCAGCCCTGAATGTTAGCCATCACATATACTGAAAGTGCTTTTCAGAATCCAGCAGCAGTCGGAACTGGTATAAATGTATCCACAGAGAAAATAGAATATTAGTTCTTTGAGTGACTCAATGGTTAATGGACTCTCTTTTAATGACACTTTAATTTGGTTTGTTTTCTCTTTATGTTGCTATTTAGTACTGTTCCCTCTTTCTAACTTTATGAAAGTGCAGATTTCAATTGAAATCAGCACTTTTTTTTAATGCTCCTTAGTTGGACAGTCCTGACTGACAAAGTTGATGGCAATGCTTCTCACAGAGAAGCATTAGCTTCAATGCTTCTCTTTTAGAATTTTTGTTAGTGCAGCACAGTGATTGCCAATCATACGCCCTAACTTCCACTGTTCCTCTGTAAGAAGCATTGGATTGATAAGTGTCACAGTGCCTAATCGGCACCTCAGTGTGACTGCACCAGATCAGTGCGGCCTGATCGGCACCATGATGTGACCGCATCTGATCAGTGCGGTCACACTAAAGGAGGGAGAGAGGTTCTCAATACAGCGGCCGGGTCCATCATTAAGAAGGATGCCAGCCAGGGCCGGACTGGGAATTAAAAGCAGCCCTGGAAAAAAAATATTTACCAGCCCCATAATGCGTCGCGCCAGCATAGTGTGCAGATACAGAGTTAGAACAGATAACTTAAAATTAAAAAGTACTTCAACGTAAAAAGCGCACTCATAGGCTTCAAAATAAAAAAAGTGCAGATTTATTTTAAGCAGACGTGCCTTTGCATGTAATCAATGTTTCAGTCCAACTACCTTGACATATTAAGGAAAGTTTGTTAATGGGACTGAAATGGTGAATGTATGTAGGGCACAACTGTAAAAAAATGTTTATTTTGAAGTCCTGTGGGTGTGCTCTTCACTTTAACCCCTTAAGGACGGAGCCAAATGTACACGTTGTGAACGAAACAAAATGTAAACAAAACCTGGCATTTGCGCTATCTGTCTGTCCAACCGTAATTCACCTCTTTCATATTAAATGCACCCACACTTATTATATATCATTTTATTCAGGGGAAACAGAGCTTTCATTTAATATCAAATATTTATCTATGAAACATAATTTAATATGAAAAAAACGGGAGAAAATAAGATTTATTTTTTATTTTTTTAGTTCTACATGACATTTTAACTGTCAATGTCATAATACTGTTTGCTTTTACTGCAATAAAATACACACATTTTTTATTCAGCGATTTCTCACGTGTAAAACAATGTTTTGGGCTACCATAGGGTCTCAGAGGCAACGTACCCAATCTGGCGAATTTTAATGTGAAAAAAATGAAACACAAGCCTTATATTTGACGCTGTAACTTTTGAAAACACCATAAAACCTGTACATGAGGGGTACTGTTGTACTTGGGAGACTTCGCTGAATACACATATTTGTGTTTCAAAACAGTAAAAAGTATCACAGGAATAATATCGTCCGTGTAAGTGCTGTTTGTGCGTGATAAATGCAAAAAACTTCACTTTTACTGGCGATATCATCGTTGTAATACATTTTACTGTTTTGAAACACTAATATTTGTGTTCAGCGAAGTCCCCCGAGTAGAACAGTACCCCCCATGTACAGGTTTTATGGTGTCTTGGAAAGTTATAGGGTTAAATATAGTGCTAGCAAATAAAATTCCCTTTACTTTCGCCATGGTTTGTCAGGCAGGTCCCGCTAATTGTAATTAATTAAGATACCCAATTATGTAAAATTATTACATAAATATATATGTAGAATTAATATATGTATATGTACGTATGTGAATATATATGTATATATATATATATATATAATTTTTAAAAAATATTTTTATTTATATATAGGTATATATAGTGATATATACGTATATATTTATGTATATAGATATATATATTATTTCGTTCTACGTGTATTTTGATATAAATATATATATTAATATCACAATACAGTTAGAACGAAATAACACACATCTATATATTTTTTAATTATTATTTTTATTATTTTTTTATTTTATTTTTTAACGTATTTACATATTAAATTTTTTATATTATATATAAATATATATATATAACAATAATTATATATATATTTAATCAGTATCAGTCTACGTGTAATTTGATATTAATATTAATATATATATATATATATATATAATTATATATATATTAATAGTAAAATACACCTAGACAGTGTACGTGTGTGTATGTATATGTGTATATATATATACTTAGATCATATATATATAATATATATATATATATAATATATATATGATCTAAGTATATATTATAATTTTTTTAACCTTTTAACTTTTATTTAATTATATTTTCAGCCAGCAGGGGGACCACCTGTCATTACAGGCAGCCCCCCTGCTGGCAATGCTGCAGCCAGCTATCCCGGCCATGTGATTGTGAGGTCCTCGCAAGGACCTCACTCTCACATGGCCGGGGGGGCTTCCAGGGGGTCGGACTTGCTGCGGTGTGCTCCATGGGAGTCTCCCCAACCGCGATCGCCAGCGTGGGTTTGCCGGCGACCGGGTAAGTAATGAAAGACCGGAGGGCGTACAATTACGCCTGGCGGCATTTAGAGCCGCCTAAAATAGGGCGTAATAGTACGCCCTCCGGTTTTAAGGGATTAAATATGTTATTGTGCTGGTGTATGCAAATAGCAACAAGACTGGGCCAATATCTGCTCATTACATATGGTACATATTAATGACATTTCTCTGTGTATTATGCATATATAAATGTACATTAATATATTTATATATATATATATATATATATATATATATATATAACTAATACGCACATTAATATACATGTCATATACCAGTGGCGGATCCAGAGCCTGAGCCCGGGAGGGGCACTTGTAGATTATTTAAAGAAATATTCCATGCACAATAACCACTACTCCTCTGTGTAGTGGTTATGGTGCCAGGAGTGTCGGCAATTGCCCCGTTGCCCCCCCATCCACCAGTGATATATACTGCCCCTATGTGTGTCTCTTTATCTCCAGCCCCTCTTTGTGCCTTTTTGTCTCCCCCAGTCACTCTGTATGTTTCTTTCTCCCCCTCACTGCTCCTCTGTGTCAATGTCTCCCCTCTCCTTCCCAGTCTCTCTTCCCCCTCTGCCTCTTTCTCCCTCTCCCCTTGTGTGTCTCTCTCATTTCTCCCTCTTTGTCTCTCCCTCCCCCCTTTCCCTGTGTCTCTCCCCTCCTCCTCATCTCTCTCCCTCCCCTTTCCCTGTGTCTCTCCCCTCCTCCCCATCTCTCTCACTCCCCCATTCCCCTGTGTCTCTCCCCTCCTCCTCATCTCTTTCCCTCCTCTCTCTCCCTCCCCCTTTCCCTGTGTCTCTCCCCTCCTCTCTCCTCCCCCTTTCCTGTGTCTCTCCCCTCCTCCCCATCTCTCTCCTCCTTTCCTGTGTCTCTCCCCTCCCCCCCTTTCCCTCCTCTCCCTCCTCCCCATCTCTCTCCCTCCCCATTTCCTGTGTTCTCCCCATCTCTCTCCCTCCCCTTTCCTGTCTCTCCTCTCTCCCTCCCCCCCTGTGTCTCCCCTCCTCTCTCCCTCCCCTTTCCCTGTCTCTCCCTCCTCTCTCCCTCCCCCCTTTCCCCTTCTCTCCCCTTCTCTCTCCCTCCCCTCCTCTCTCCCTCCCACTATTCCCCTCTATGTTTAATTCCCCCCCCTTACCTAGATGATTCAGGGGGCCGGCCGCGTTCAAGGCTGGAGCCGCCGGTCCGGCGGCACGCCTGTCACTGGCTGCTGTGGCTGAAGGAGGAGGATTTAAAGCTGCAGAACTGCTCTAATACAATTTAAAGGGGCAGCAAGTCTTTTAAAATCCAATCTGCTAAAATAGTCTTTAACAGGCAATATCTTCCAAGGGCCATAGTCTTAAAGCGGCATTGTTCCCAAAAGTCACAGTATGTCCCCAGATGGTTCTTAAATGGCCAGCAGCATCATAATAAAATACAAAATGCCCAAATACTGTATTAAAAGGGCCAAATCTCCCAGGGGCCATAGTCAGCAGGCAGGAGGCGGGCAATCAGGCTTCTCCAATGCCCAGTGACTAGGTTGGTTTCGCCACAGCAGGGTTTACTGGGTTATTTAAACCCAAACCTGCAGTGGTTTAGTGCCCTGTTGTGGTTTCCATCCTGTTGGTTATCCGAGAGCGCGTTCCTGATACTGTTCATTGGTTATTGATCTTGGCTTGGCTTGACTTCCCATATTGTTGGTATCCCTGACCCTTTGGCTTTGCTCTTATTGTATTTGTTCCTTTCTGTATTCCTGACCTCGGCTCGTAACTGTTTATTCTATTACGTTAAATCCGGCCATTCTAAGGCCCGGTAATACGTTGTTACGGTTTGTCTTTGTTACGTGTTTTACTTAATTCTGCTTGTTGAGCCACTGGTTCATCCTGACAATCAGGAGATCATCAGTAATTATAAGCTCCTGGAGACAGACTGGAACTATGGTAAGAGACCTTCTAGCCCCTGGGTCAGAGGTAAGATAATGCTTTTTCTACAGGTGCCGGTGGGGAAAATCAGCACAGATGATTTATTAACACTCCATCATTATAAATAAATGTATATTTATAAAGCTGAAACGTTCCTTCACTCTGTTTTATTTCCTGTTAGTAGCAAGGTTTTTTCATTCAATCATTTCAATTCTGCTAAAAGTATTTCACCAAGAATACCTAACAGTTAATAAATCAAATAAAGCAAATTGTTCTACTTTAAGGCAAATAAAATGTGTTCTAGAGTACATCCAGTCAGCTGGAGGCAAACAGTGTGAAAATGGTACATGGGACAGATATACAATATAATGTGCTAAACCTGAATAATGAAAACCAGCAGCGGTAAAAATATTGCTATAGCAATATTGCTCTCTCTTAACATACAAGGTGCTACACAAAACACAGACCTGTTGGTAGCCTGGGACATACAAAACAAAAAAGGCAAACTTATTTATAGGCCAGCTAGTTGTAACCAATCGACTAATTCACGTCAGAAATATAAACAAAAAAAGGTTTGTACATCTCATTACAGAAATTGTGTGAGTATTTAACTTTGAACTGGAATTATCACTTCTCTGGAAATTACATACTTGTGTGCAACAGTAAAAATCACCTACAATTTGGGAGCGGAGCCTGGAACCAAACGGAGCAGACGTGTCCAACACGAGCTCCGGCCGAGCGGGCAAAAACGGGGCAAAAAGAGGGGGCAACATGGCCCAAAGTTCCTCACGGGAGCACCACCCACGTTGGGGGTGCCCTGTTAACTCAACAGACATTACCCCGGGGCCTGTCGGGTCCGAGAGCACGGAGATCCGGGCGCGGCCTACTGGGGCAGGGTTGAGGCGGCAGCTCTCCTCGGCGCCGAGGCCCTTCAGCGACGTAACTTCATTTCCCCCCTGGACTGGTGGGGGATATCCCGGTCCCCACTGGACGTACCGGCCCGAACGAACAGCGGACAAACCAGCCACAGGCCTAAAAAGCACAACCAAGATGGCCGCCCAAAACGGAACTCGAGAGCGGAGCGTCCATAGCCAGCCATCCCCACCAACACAGGAGACCTTCAACTGGCTCTGCAAAAGTTTCTGGGATGCACTGCACAGCAGAGGAGCTACCTACCGCCATGCAGAAACCCTGGAGACATCGTGGATCCGACCAGCGAAAAGACGCAGCCACTACAGGCACACACCAAGAGACTCAAAAGTGGCGGTCCGGTGGCACAGAGACTTGCGGTCCTTAAGGCGGTAAAAAGCCCCATGTTTCCCAAACCGCAGGTACCTGCCGGCGACCACACAAAAGTGAGCCCTCCACACAAGCGGCACCGAAAAATGCCTCACCAAGCCAGCTTCCCAGCACCCGGCACAGCACGACCCAGCGCTCTGCGGCCAAAGCTACAAAGCAAGAGACAGAGCGGCTGCATACCCCTCTGAGTGGCATTGGAGCTGACACCTTTCATGGAAAGACTATGCCCAAGGGATCTGCGCCTACCGGGCGGAATGGACTGCGGGCCTCTCCCACTGCCCATAACTCATACCTGGACAGCAACCTACACCCGATGGGGATCGGCTGAACCTCTATGGACACTCCACAGGCTCCAAAGCCACAGCTAGTTCCTGGTGGTAATCACCTGTTCCATGAACTACCTAGGCATCACTATACATTAGGCAAACCAACACCAACCGACACATAATTCACACCCAGACTTGCCTCACCTTAACAATCTGATACCATCATCACTCTGTCCCACTTATTACCTAGCACAAACACATGAAACACGTTTACCAGTGAGATGAAACTAGTTTATTAATCTTGTTACATAGTTACATAGTTACATAGCTGAAAAGAGACTTGCGTCCATCAAGTTCAGCCTTCCTTGTTCATTGCATCTTTTACATATCTCCATATAGTCCTGTCTGAAGGCTAAGCCATTGAAGAAACGTAAATGTAGCACTCATACTCAGACGACTGTATGTGACATGCCTAGCTTGTTTAACTCCTTTATATGCAATGCTCTGCTCGTTCATGCAATACTCTTGACCCTTTAAAATGTATTAACAATGAACAGCCATCTCAAATGTCATGTGAAACTATGCCGTATTCAGCTCTTCTCTCAACAAATTTTTTTAAAAAGTGTGCCGTATGTTTACATGCCATGTTTTGATTGCTATGCCTGTTACCGCTTACGACTGCTACCGTGGCTGAGTAAGCCTATTGTTATACCATGCACAACAGAAAATAAAGAATTAAAAAAAAAAAATTACCTACAATTTGATTGAACCTTTTTTGGTCCTGTGATGCTACATTTATCATGGCTTCCACTGTCTGACAAGGCTCCTTGGTATATATGTATAGCGCTTATAGCGCTACCTGCCACATTTTTTTTTTAGGACACATTTTTTTTTTTTTATTCTTTCTTTTTTGAATTTTTCCAATTTCATTGGGGATAGGGTACAAAATAGAACAAGGGACTAAGATTTTTGTTACAGAGTTCATAGAGCTTATTTTTGTGGTTTATGACAGTCTTGCATATGAAATAGGTTTATGACGATTTTTCTTTGGTTACAGTATCTGTCTTTTGCTTATACGATATTTCTCTGTACATAACATTTGTTGCTGCTCTAGATCTAAGGATTGGGGAGGGGTACAGAATAGAATAGGGAAGGAATCGGTGTGCCCTATTGGTTTTTCTTTCCTTTTTCCTCTCTCCTCCTCTCCTCCTTACTCCCCCTTTCTTTAAATTCTTTGTTTTTGAAATTTTACATTTGCACCGGGGGTTGGATACAGGAGAAAAGTTGGGAGTGGGGTTGGTATAACAGAGTTCGTAGACCATGGTTATGCTGTTTGTTACATTGATATCATCCTGATACTCTTTTCTTCTCTAGTTACAATAACGATTTTTTGTTTACAAGGTATTAGTCTATCTGTGTCCTTGGTTGCTGTTCTAGGTCTAAGGGTTGGGGGGGGAGGGTACAGAGTATACGTGGGAGGGGGTAGGGTACCCTGTCTGGTGTTGGTGCCAGGAGGTTTTGGGTCTGGTCATCTGTGGATATGTATCATTTTGCGTCTTAATTGTTCTTGTCAGGGTGTTAGGTGGGGTTGTTGTGTGTTTTGTGGTCGTGTGCAGTGTCGGGTCGCTTTTTACCGTCGCTGACGTCTGTTGTCGTGGGTGGGGGATGGGTGAGCGAGGTTGGGTTCCGTGAGTCAGTGGACACATTTTTTTACGGCGAAACTTGGGACAAAACCTGCCTTGGTCCCTTATTCTGTCACACGATGCCAGTCACTCCATGTAGCATGGCCAGCTGACCTTGGTTTAGGAGTTTTTATCCTCTACCTGGTCTTCCAGGTAGCTGGGTGCATTGACCAGCTTTCTGTCAGACTACATAGAGGACATAAAAGGTCTTCTACTGCAGATTGCCAGGCCATGCTACAACAGGAGGTAATAGTCAAAAGAGGGGTGAGGAAAACAGGGTGGTCAGGGTCAGATTAAGAGCCCAGTGGGCCTGTTGCTGACAATTATGATGGGCCTAATTACAAAATCTTATCAACCAAAAACACTAAACAGTCCTACCTCCCAAGCGTCATGTATCTGATGGAGATGGTGCTGGAGGGAAACTCATAGGATGCAGCTGTGAGAAAACACATACCCTATGCTAATCTCACGCTTTCATCTTTCAAGTAAATCCATACCCATTAACAGCAGTGTCCAGTAAAACAGGAAGTCTATGGACAGGGGCCACTGACGCAAATCACATAACAAGAACTGCCGAAAGGGGCAAACATACCCAAAAAAGGGGCATGTCTATGTCCCCGTGTCTCCCAGTCCCTTAGTGTCTGTGTCCCCATATCTCCCAGTGTCCCCATTTCACTAGGACACTAGGGGACATTGAGAGACATTGGGACACTGGGGACACTGAGATACTAGAGAACACTGGGAGACCTTGGAACACTGAGACACTTGGGGACACTGGGAGACATATGACACTAAGACACTGTGATACAAAAGGGACACTGTGATATATAGGGGACTCTGGAGACTTGATAAAGACCTGGGTACAGGTCAAAACTTTTGGTGTCCAATAAACTTGCAGTGAGTGCCTGAGATTTTTTTCTTTTATACTATGGAACACTGAGACACTTGGTGTTACTGTCAGACATGGGGACACTGGGAGACTAAGGGACTCTCAGAGACTATGTGGACACTGAGACACTAAGACACTGAGAGACACCAGGGACACTGAGAGACATGGGGCACTGAGACACTGTGATACATAGGGGACACTATGATACATAAGGGACACTGAAGACTTTATGAAGACCTGGGTACAGGTCGAAACGTTGCAGTGTCCAATAAACCTGTTTAAATCTATCATAGTGAGTGTCTGAGATTGTTTCTTTTATACTAGGGGACACTGAGACATTGGGAGACATTAGGGCACTGGGAGGCATTGGGACACTGAGACACTGGGAGACTAGGGGACTTTGGTAGATTAGGAAACACTGAAACACAAGGGACACTGGCACACTACAGACACTGAGAGAGACCAGGGAAACTAGGAAACATGGGGACACTGAGATACTAGGGACACTGGCTGGTAGACATGGGGACACTGGGAGTGCCCCATGTCTCCCAGGTCGCAAAATTGCCCAGTGTCCCCATGTCTCCCTGTGTCCCCCAGTGTGTCCATGTCTCTCAGTGCCCCCTAGTGTCTCAGTGTCCCCATGTCATCCAGTATCCCCTAGTGTTTGTATCCTCACGTCTCCCAATGTCCCA